AAAGGCAGAACTAGGTTCTCCTTCCTTCAAAAAATTGTAGCCTCATATATTAGCTTTCCAACAAGACTAATCTCACTTGAAATAGAGTTCTATAAGACTAGATATAGTTAACAATCTGATGAGTATTAAGACAGTAACAGTTGGACAGTAACAGTTCAAATGTAAGATAGTAACAGTTGGAAAAGTCAAATAGTAATAGTTCAAAGTCAAACAGTAGCAGTTCAAAGTCAAACAGTAACAATTCAAAGTCAGATAGTAACAGTTAGAAAAGTCAGACAGTAATAGTTGGAAAAGTCAAATAATAACAGTTCAAAGTCAGACAGTAACAGTTGAAAAAGTCAAACAGTAACAATTAGAAAAGTCAGATAGTAATAGTTGGAAAAGCTAGACAGTAACACTTCAAAGCCAAACAATAACAGTTGGAAATTGGACAGTAACAGTTTGAAGTTAGATAGTAACAGTAGACTTTCACGTGAATACTATATAAAAGAATTGAGTCATACGAACACTTGCACATTGAGATACTAACTCTGAATATATACATGATATATGTATATATGTTATTGTGAGGAAATGAACATGCATAAGAAAGTAACATGAGTAATGGATGAATATGGATTCTCTATAATATCGGCCTGAAAGAATGATAACTATGGTTAGATAAAGGATGATAACATTAATGGGTGTAATGAGAAAAATGTAAGATATAAAGAAATAAATTATTGAAAGAAAGATTTATTAGCTCTTGATATGATTATTATAAAACATATCCTTGAATGATGAATTTATAAGATGAGTTCGTGACTGCAGGAGGGACCACCGGTGCGGTGCAGCAGTAGCAACAGGGGAGCATGAGTAGAGCTTCTATTGCAGGTGACTTTTCACCTTCCTTTTAAATATTGTTGAATAATGAAAATACTTTATCATGAATGTTGTTGTCTTGTGTTAATTCATATATCAGTTTGCTAAATGCTTAAATGTTAACAAATGGTTGATTAGCTTCGGCTAATCGCATTTGAAGAGATGACCTTGAACAATGAAATACCTTATCATGAATATTAGATATCAGATTGTCGAATGCTTAAATGTTAACAAATGGTTGATTAGCTTCGGCTAATGACATCTAAATGGATGGCTGGGATAAATGATTGATTAACTTCGACTAATGGCATCCGAAGGGATGACTGAGACAAATGATTGATTACCTTCAGCTAATGGCATTCGAAGGGATGACCAGGACAATGATCGGGACAAACAATTGATTAGCTTTGGCTAATGGCATCTGAAGGGATGACCAGGACATACGATTGATTAACTTCGGCTAATGGCATCTAAATAGATGACTGGGACAAACGATTGATTAGCTTTGACTAATGGCATCTGAATGGATGACTGGGACAAATGATTGATTAGCTCCGGCAAATGGCATCCGAATGGATGACCGGGACAAACAATTAATTAGCATTGACTAATGGCATCTAAAGGGATGATCGAGACAAACAATTGATTAACTTTGGCTAAATGGATGACCAGGACAAATGATTGATTAACTTCGGCCAATGGCATCCGAATAGATGACCAGGAAAAATGATAGATTAACTTCGGCTAATGGCATCCAAATGGACAAACGATTGATTAATTTCAGCTAATGGCATCCAAAGGGATGACCGGGACAAACAATTGATTAGCTTTGGCTAATGGTATCCGAAGGGATGACCGGGACAAATGATTGACTAACTTCGGCTAATGGCATTTGAATGGATGACCGGGACAAATGAATGATTAACTTCGGTTAATGGCATCCGAAGGGATGACCGGGAAAAATGGTTGATTAGTTTTGGTTGATGGAATTCGAAGGGGATGGCCGAGTGAGTGAATAGTTAACTTCGACAAATGATGTCTTAAAGAATGGTCGGGTTTAAGATTATAGTTGATTGTAAGAATTGGTGCATATATATATGTACTGCAAGTAGTGTATACCAAGAACACGAAGGAACTACAAATGTCACGCTTCAAACATGAGATAATGTTAATGCTTCATTAAACTATCATACCATTTTCTTATTGTTGTTATTATTATTATTATTATTAAGTAATTGCATTCTTTTAAATGTTTTGTATGGTAGTAGGGACGTTATACCAACAAGGTGCCTAGGAAACCCCATACTCGAGAACCTACTTTTACAAGGAATCATGTAGTTGCATTCTAAATCATGATGTATTTTATATGAATCAATGTACTGAATGTATATCTATTATTAGATCCTTTTAGATTAAATTTGTGATGACTATTTGTCGGATAGAATACAAACTCATGACTATGCATGTATATTTTAAATGCAAACTTCTAATCATGCAAACATAATATTATGAGTTTATGTAAGATTAACTTTTAAATGAAAATGTTGATTGTTGTTGATGTATAGATTATATATTGATGATGTGAAGGGAACATGTTCATTGATTTCTGACACAAGGTGAAACATAATATTATGAGTTTATGTAAGATTAACTTTTAAATGAAAATGTTGATTGTTGTTGATGTATAGATTATATATTGATGATGTGAAGGGAACATGTTCATTGATTTCTGACACAAGGTGTGTCAAGTACAAAAAAAAAATTATTGTTGTTTTGGGCTTGAAAAACGGGGTTATTACAAATAGATACTGCTACTAGCTTTGAATCTACTCTTAGCCTTGACGTTGTGATATGACTATTGTTCAATAAGATGTCATAAGCTTTTGGGTTTTGTTATTATTCTCTTAAGTTCAGGAATTCTTCTTGGCTAGGAATTGTTTCTCTTGCTCCCTTTAATGCTGCCTTATCAGGTTATGGAGCTATTCTATATTGGTGGGGTTATTATCCATTGGTTGGTTGCTGCCTAACCTAGCTGTTGTTCTTGTTAATTTCATTGCTCGACCGCTCGTGCTGCATGTTATGGCTAAATTAGTTGCTGCTTTATTTGTTGTTAATGTAATTATCAAATTTTTATCTAGTGCCTTATGTGGCTTTTTGGTCTCTACTAAAAGGGTTTAGACATCTAATTTTCTATTGGTTTTCTGGGATAACCTCTTATGCTTTTTTCTTAGCCTTGGTTTTGCTAGTTTATGTTCTAGGAGCATGTTCCCAAAGTGTTTTTAATTTTTGGATGTATCATCTTGTACATCAACTTGCTAATATTTAGCTTTTTTTACTTTTGATCTTCAATATATACTTATATTCTAATAAAAAAAATATAAAGTTAGGCCGATTGATTAATTTAAAAGGTGTGTTTTTATCAAGGTTTTATATCATTATTTCTGCACCTGAAATATCAATAACTCCTTAACTAGAGCATGTTTTATAATATCATGTCTAATATTATAAGATATCTTTAATTTATGGTAAATGTTCATTTTAATGCAGGCCTATCACATAAATAAAATCATTGATTGATGAGTTTAACAACTAAAATTGAGAAGACAAAGAGAGGGCTAAGTTTAGAAAAGAGATATTGGTGCAGTCCAAATTGGAACACTATTCAGTCACTGGGTTATATCTGGAGCTGTAGAACTTAGATTTGTGTCTACTTTATATGGATGGAAAGTTAAGAGATAGGCCTAAAACATTCATGAATATCCAAAACTCAATTCTACCATTTGAAAGTTCAAATCTTAGCATCAAAAGAGAAGTCAAAATCTGTCTTATAGCTCAGACACTATTTAGTGTTTTGCATATCTTGAGTTCTAGAAGTCTAAATGACCTAATTTTTTTTTTATTGGAAAGCTAAGACAATTTCCTAGAACTTGATTTAAGTCTATTCAAATTCTGACATAAGCAATGATGTTTTTGGAAGACAAGAAGATAAGTGACATGACCAAAAGAGTGATGTCTTCTCCTAAGTGCATGAATGTTGAAGTAATAAATAACCCGGCAAGACCGGGATCAAATCACAGGGAGGTTAATTGTATAAATTATAAACAACAATAACAATAGTAGTAATAATAATAATAAAAAAATGAAGTTGATGAGAACATTGATATGGAAGATAAATGTAAGGATTAAATAATGATAAAAACAAATGTCAAGGTTAGAGGATTCACTAATAATATTTCAAAGAGGTATAGTATAAACTCTTTTTATTACTCAATTGGAAACAACACACAAAGGAGGAACATAAATAAGATAAAAGTTAACTAAGTAAAGTAAAGGAAATGAAAAGCATAAACAACTGATTAATGAAAGCAAAACTTAAACATTACAAAAATATAAAATAAAAAAGCAAGAACATGATCTTGATCTAAAAACCAAGATGCCTAAATGCATGAAAAATACCTCCTTTTATAGGCTAGAATTTGAAACTACTGATTTGATGACTAATTGTTGAGTGCGCGGTTACATCTTGACTTGGTGACTATCCTTATCTTCTTGTTTGAACAAAACATATTTGATAACATTAGAATTTGAACCAACCTTACCATGAAAGTTCTAGGAAATTGTCTTAGCTTTCCAAGAAAAAAATAATGGACTTCTAGAACTCAAGATATAGGCTGAACATTGAACATTGTCTAGGTTGTAGGATAGATTCAGACTTCTATATTGTTGCTAAGATTTTGACAACCAAACAGCAAAATTGAGTCTTGCCTTCAACTTGGGCCTATGTCTTAGCTTTTCATCCATATAAAGCAAACCTAAATACAAGTTCTACAGTTCCAGTTATAATCCAATTACCGAACAGTGCTCCTGTATGGACTAAACCAGCATCTCTTTTCTAAGCTTCACACTCTCTTTGTCCTTTCAATTTTAGTACTTCAACTTATCAATCAATCCTTTTATTTATATGATAAGGCATTTAGGATGAACATTTACCATAAATTAAAGGTATCTTATATTATTATACATGTTATTATAAAACATGCTCTAGTTAAGGATTTATTGATACTTTAAGTGCAAAATCATGATATAAAACTGATTAGTACTTAAAAGTGCATTTTTATCAAGGTTTTATGTCATCATTTTTGCACTTGAAGTATCAATAACTCTTTAACTACAACATGTTTTATAATAATATATATAATAATATAAGATACCTTTAATTTGTAGTAAATGTTCA